CTGGACCACTACTAATGCAGTAGCAATTTGAGGGGCCATGATTATAAGGGAGAAAAAAGGAAAGCTCAGAGAAGTCAGGCTGATATTTTGGTCCATTCTAAACAGTTTTCATATGCCCTTTGGTAAAAATATATATGCATTTCTCCCGTTTATACCTAGGATTAAAATGATGTGTCACAGAGTATTTATATCTTCATTTTGGTAAACAGTGCCAAAGTTTTCAAAAATGGTTGTATAAATTTATACTCCTACCAGCAATATAAGAGAGTTCTGTTTGCTCTATATTCAGCTAACATTAGCATTTAGACACTTGTATGTATCAAAAGAAAACATTAAGAGAGTAAAAACAAACAACAAAAAAAAATGGAAGAAGATAGCTGCAATGCATATATCTGACGACAAACCTGCCCAAGAATATAAAAGGAATTCCTACTCAATAAGAAAAAGGCAGATAACAATAAAAAATGGTACAAAAGACTTGAATAGGCACTTCACAAAACAGAATATCCAAATTGATATTTTTCATACTAAAAAGTTCTCAATTTCATTACCATCAGAGAAATGCAAATGAAATCCACAGTAAGATACCTCCACACATACCAGAATCCTTACTATTAGATAAATGCAGAAACTACCAAGTTGTTTTTTTTTTTAATGTAGTGTTCCATGATTCATTGTTTGCGTATAACACCCAGTGCTCCATTCAATATGTGCCCTCTTTAATACCCATCACCAGGCTAACCCATCCCCCAAACCCCCTCCCCTCTAGAACCCTCAGTTTTCCTCAGAGTCCACAGTCTCTCATGATTTGTCTCCCCCTCAGATTCCCCCCTTCATTTTTCCCTTCCTACTTTCTTCTTTTTTTTTTTTTTAACATATAATGTATTATTTGTTTCAGAGGTACAGGTCTGTGATTCAACAGTCTTACACAATTCACAGCGCTCACCATAGCACATACCCTCTCCAATGTCTATCACCCAGCCACCCCATCCCTCCCACCCCCCACCACTCCAGAGAAAATACCAAGTTTTTATCAAAATAGCAAGTATATCTTCAAAATGGGGATGTATAAACTCTAATGCATTATTTCTCTAGCCAAATACAGGACATTTCTTCAGCATTAGAAAAGAAAACTGATAATATTACATCACAACATACTTTTTTTAAATCCATGAATCCACTAAATGACAAAGAAATGGTAAGAATAAATTTAATAAAGAATCATCAAAGCATGGTAATGCCATTCAATAAAAGTATGTTGGGGAACAGAACACAGTTTCAACATATCATCTTATAGATAACTTAATGAATTGCTTTTACAATTGAAAGAGCTGGAAAGCACTATTTTAACCAAGTAATCAAACTCAGGGTCACCAAAAAATGGAATGAAGGAATGTCGATGTAATACAAGAAGAAGTACATAGTATTTACCTAATTATTACAAAATTTTTGACAAAACTCCTTAATCTGAATCTAACCATTAGGATACAATTCCTCAAGTCCAAAATATAAGACTTTTTATAAGACATCTAAGTTTTTTAAATGACAAAGTCACAAAAGACATACAAAGGTAGATCACTGTTCCTAACTAAAGGAAAGTAGGTACATGAAAAACAAACGCAATGTATCAACACTGGTTATATTCTAAATGGAACAGTTTTGGAAAAATCACAGAAGTTGTGGAATGGACTATATTTTAAACTATATTATTGAATCAACACTAAGAATAATTAATATTCTTGGTTATATCAATGCTATAGTTATGAAGGAGAATGTCATTGTTCTTAAGATATGCAAGCTAAAATAGAGTGAAATGTCACGATATCTGCAAATTACTTTCAAATGGTTCAGCAAGAAGAACAAAAGCATAGGCGGATAGATAGGGAGACAGACCGACAGACAAACATCAGGAGAGAAAGAAAATGCAGCAAAATGTTAAAAATAGGTCAACCTAGGTGAAAGATATATTTTGTTGTACTATTTTCGAATTTTCTCTAGGTTTGAATGTTTTCAAAATAAAGTTGGAGAAGTAAAGAGGGAAAAGACATTTTAGATAACAACAGCAACAAAACCTTTTGAGAGGATTCAGTAATAGAAGAGACACACTAAAGCAAATCTTAAAGAAATTCTTCAATTAGAAGGAAAGTGAATCACAATTGGAAGCACAGAGATGAAGAAAGGAATACAAAACAATAAAAAGAGTAAATATTTGGTAATTACAAATGAACACTGGTCATGTAAAACCATGATACTAATAAGTTGTAGAATTTGAATTATTAGAATTAAAATACAAGAAAAGAATAAAACAAAAGGCAGGAGGTAAAAATGGACTTCAAATGTTCTGAGGTCCTCACACTGCCCAAAACCTTAATTTATATAAGTCACAGTGTTTCTTGTACACTCATTGGCAACAACAAAAAGAATAGCTAGAGGGTGTATAATGCTCAGCCAAATGAAGAGGGAAGAATGGAATAACAACAACAACAGCAACAATAAATACTTAATCCAAAAATAGGGGGGAAAGGAGAGAAGAAATGACATAGGCCAGATGGGGCAAATAGAAAACAAATAAGTACATGGTAGGTTTAAACCCACATATTTTAAATGTAAACAGTCTAAGGACTCCAAATATAAAAGCCAAGATTGTCAGTCTGGATAACATCAGTTTTAGAAAGCCCTCTATAGAAAATCAAAGCCTAATTTACAGACCTTTCCTGTAGTAATCAGAACACCAATGAGAGAAAGGAAATAGGATGGTCAGAAGAAAAAGTGATCATATAGTGTCTAATATTTCTTATAACAGATTTTCCAATGGCATTTTTACAATTTTATAACTTTCTAGAATAATGAATATGTCTGCTTACATGTCATCAGTTGTAATAAAAAACAGGACAATTTATTTTAATCCCTTTTTTTGTGAATTTGGAAATGGCACACACGCCTCTGTAGAAAGTCTGAGGTCTTCAGATAGAAATCTAGGGAGATTTTTTTAAAATATGAAATAAACAACAGGTTTCATTTGATATGCTCAACAGTTTTAATGCCTTTAAACTGATAACATACTGGTTATATTTAAATAGTATGGGGATGCCTGGGTGACTCAGTCGGTTAAGCATCTGTCTTTGGCTCAGGTTATGATCCCAGGGTCCTGGGATAGAGCCCCACATCAGGCTCCTTGCTCAGCGGGGAGCCTGCTTCTCTCTCTGCCTGCTGCTCCCCCTGCTTGTGCTCTCTCTCTTTCTCTCTGACAAATAAATAAATAAAATCTTTAAAAAAAAAATAAATAAAAATAAATAGTACAAAAATGGTGATGTTTAATAAAAAAATCCCTTAAAAATACACTTTGTTTTTTAAAAAATAAATATCACAGCTAATTATAAAAAAACTTTGAAATGGAGATTTTTATGACTATTAGTTAAGTCACAGATGATCATCCATACTTTATATTTGTCACAGAAAAAATCAGATATTCTTAGTAATAACAAACTTTCCCCTATTAAAAATGTGATAATACCCCAGGCGGACTGTTTTAAATTCCAGTGCTACTATGTAGAGAAAATATTAGTAATTTTCATTTAAACATAGAAGCATAGAAAATTCTACCTTGTTAATCCAAGAAGACCAAGAGCCTAAAACAAAGTAATAAGTCTTCTTTTTAGTTAATAGTGTCTTGAATCAAATTTTCCATTTTCCTATTTCCCTTGATTTCTTTGTTGTAATTTAGTATGCTTTGTGAGCACCACTCATTTGGAAAATTGCTCTTAAAATAGAATAGAAAATAATATAATCCAGAATGAAACTGCTATTGACCACAATTTCACATTTTCTATTATAGATGTATATATAAAATAAAATTTTAAAACTATTTTTAGAAACTGTGAACTTTGAGATAAATCATGAAGAATTATTTTATCTCAAAGCTTCCAGAGTTATTCTAAAATTCATGTTATAAAGTACATCTTTTATTTCAAACCATTTTCTTATAAATTTTATTTTTAAGTAAACTCTATGCCCAAAGTGGGGCTTGAACTCACCACTCCTAGATCAAGAGTCACATGCTCTACCAACTGAGCCAGCCAGGTGTCCCCGCTACATTTTAAAACTTTACATTTAAATCACTATAAATTTGGGGCGCTTGGGTGGCTCAGTTGTTCAGCGTCTGCCTTCATCTCAGGTCATGATCCCAGAGTCCTGGAATCGAGCCCTGCATCGGGCTCCCTGCTCTGCGGGAAGCCTGCTTCTCCCTCTCCCACTCCCCTTGCTTGTGTTCCTGCTCTTGCTATCTATCTGTCAAATAAATAAAATCTTTAAAAAATAATAATAATAAATAAATAAATCACTATAAATTAGAAGGCATCAGGAATTAAAATATAATCTTTGCTCTTGTTTTCATATCAGGCAAGCTATTACCCACTCAGTTACATATGGGCCTACAATGAGGACTAATTTTTTTCCTTATGATAATGATAAAAATTAGTTTTAAGTAACACTGGACGATTTTCAAAATGTTTCTCACTATTTTATTTGGCCCTCACAACAACTTTGTGACTAGGAAGGAATAAAAGGACAATTCCCACCATTTTATAGATAAAGAAATAAAGCTCTAAGAAATTTAAGTAAGCCTAAATTAGATAGTTATTGATGGATTAACTTGAAGTAAGACAAATTATTTATTTATTATCCAACATATATTAAGTACTTTCAGTGTTCAAGCTCTCTTTATTCATTGTTTGGAAACACTTCATATAGCCCCATGTTTTATTGTTGCTATTATTGGGTGTAAGGGTGATGGTAATGGTAGAGTGTGGTATGTGCGGGCACACATGCCCACAGAGGAAGAGAAAGGAGGGAAATAGGAGTCAGAAAAAGATGATAAAACTAAAGATTACCTAAGGAAAGAATTTCACGAGACAAGAAATCCAATTATCATAGCCAAGAAGAGAAGGGTCTTCTTAAAGAAATAAAAGTAGCTAACTAGATCAAAAACTAATGATGTCGAGGAAGTGGGAGACCAGGCGGAATTGGCGGGCATCTCCACCCGGAGCGGCTCCACCACGTCGAAGGTTTCCTTTAAGATCACGCTGACGTCGGACCCGCGGCTGCCTTACAAAGTACTTAGTGTTCCTGAAAGTACACCTTTCACAGCAGTGTTAAAGTTTGCAGCAGAAGAATTTAAAGTTCCTGCAGCAACAAGTGCAATTATTACCAATGATGGAATAGGAATAAATCCTGCCCAGACTGCTGGAAATGTTTTCCTAAAGCATGGTTCAGAACTGCGAATTATTCCTAGAGATCGTGTTGGAAGTTGGTAATATCTGCTACCTGGAACATAAGATGACCTTTCCAAATAAATATTGGTATTGTTGTAAAACTGAAAAAAAAAACAAAAAAAACTAATGATGTCATGTATGGTGATTAACATAACAATAAATTTTTTTAAAAAAGTAGCTAACTAGAAATCCAAAAAATTAGAAAGAAAGCCATTTATGTTTTTGCTAATAGGGTCCATTTTGCTAAACTATAAACAACATTTGAGGAAACTGAAAGAATTTTGCTACCAATAAAAATTTTTTATAGATAATCAATTACTATTAATGGGAAATGCATAACCAAGGATTTTGACATTTTAAGTGGAATACTACTTAGGATTTTTGAGGTAGATGTAAGCATATGAAAAGCAGTTATTAAAAAAAAATACTGAAACCAAGTTTGGAATACATTTCTACATTAAAATACCATTTTTCATACAACCTATTTATTCCCTAACATAATGATAACATGAAGACAAATAGGTATAGGTAGATAAATCTTAATTATATAGATCATCTTTTCAATTCCAATTCACTTACAGTCTTCCAGTCTTCTTAATATAATGTTTCAATTCCATGATAAGTTCAAAAAACAATTCAGGAAACTTAGGACTATTCTTAAATTTCTCTGTGAAATTAGCCCTCAGTTACCTTGCATGTTGGCCAATGAAGTTAGGCCAAGAAAAGATTACTGAGAGTACTTATGCTAAAGCGTTTGGTCTCTGTTGTATATAGACTGTTATTATGAAAATGGATTGTTACCAGGAACTGAGTTCAACTTTGGAAGAGCCAGTTAATGGATTATATCATGCAACAGCGGTTCAGAGAATCATTTTGCTACAGTGGTAACACATAAAAGGACATGCTTGATTTGCAGAAAAAGTCAAATGCATGGATAAAAATAATGATGAGGATAATGCTAAAAATAGCACCCACATAATTTCTTTCAGTGACTTTAGGCCTTATCAGGTCATCCAAGCAACTCTGATAATCTCTTACCAAAAGGTTCCGGTAGCAAGATACCCTCTCAAACCTTACTAAATGTTCCCTACTTGGTTTCTCCATCTCATGGCCCTAGATGTAATTAAGCTTCTCATCAGTAGTAACTTCTTTTTCTATTGTTACTAGACTCATATAACCTGTATAATATTTTTCTAGATCACACAGAGTTATACAATTATCAATACCTTTAGGCTAACTGTGCCTAAGCATTGTGTTTATATCATTTATCTTTCTAGATTTATATCTAAATTTAGGCTATAAGCAGATGTCATGCTAATAAATGATTTCTAATCAGGATAAGTTTCTCTTTTAAACATGTGGTCTTTGTCCAAGAGCAAGAGTGTGGAAAGGGACACATATAGTAAGGAAGAAGGAAAAACATCATATAGGGATTATCCAGATGAAAGAAAATAAGAAATAATGGAAATTTCACCTATTAGAGTGCCAGATCTAGGGTTTTACCACTTAGTATCCTGAGCATCTGTTCTTTGTGTGTGAATATGTGTTAAATGAATATCAAATAGTATGTCAGATCAAGAAACAATGGTGACTATTATTGAAGGGCCTATGAGAAAGGGAAAAAATTATATATTTATATATATTCATATTATATATATATATTAATTTACTTTACAGTATCATCAAATAAGTTTAACTATGTCAATGATGAACACCTAACTTCAAAAATATCATAATGATGTATATCATTACACATACCAGATTAAAATGCACATATTTCATTTGACTTACTACCAAAATGCATCCTTTATTGATATGTAAGTAGCATGATGTACAATTTATAACATTCTGTTATAGTTACGAACACTGCCCATAATTCATTTGTCCATAATGTCTGTAATTCATCACTCTTGAGTTTTGTTTTTCCTTTTATTTGGTTTTTGAGAATTTTTTCATTATGTATCAGTTTTAATCCACTTAAATTTAAGTAATTATTTTGTTTTGTTTCCTTCTCAAGGATACTCTATAGAATATGAAATTAGTATACTAATTACTTAAATTTAAAAATATAATTGTTCCTGTTATTCATGGAAATATCATATTATCAATCCCTACTTTACAAAGGAGAAGCATATCCATCACAAAATACAAGAAAAAGTAGAGTTATAACTAATCAATGTAGAAAGAATGAACAAAATAGATATTCATCATTTGGTAACCATCGTAGTAGTAACTGATAAGCCTAAGGATTATCAATGGATGCTAGCCAGTGGCAGAAAGTTTGATGAGGTACAGTATATTAGAAAATATTGGAATATCACCCCCCAAATTATTGGCCAATACAAAAGGGAAAATGATGACATTATACTGGAGAAAAAGGTTCGATAGTAACTAGTGTAGGTAATAGAAGTTAATATCACAAGTCATAGGGCAAGCTGATATCATGTGCCTCTATCATTTCTGTGATATTTCTGCCAAAAATGTATGGCCTGAAGAAACATCTGGTCATGAGGAAACATCAGTGGGACACAGGTTGAGGTCACCTGGTAGAATGAAATGATTGCATTCATCAAAACTTTGAAGGATATGAGAGGCAAAGAAAGACTGAGGAGTAATTCAAAGAAAATTGATGAGACATGACAGCTAATCATACCATGCCTTTCTAAATAAGATCCTGGAAAAGTAATGAAAAAGAGACATTAATGAGACAGTTGTGAAACTGAATGACAATGTTACATCAATGCCGATTTCTGGATTGAGAGAACTGTATAATGACAATGTAGGAAAATTTTGCTTTCGGGGAAGAGAGAGAACAAATGAAGTATTGTGTTAGAGACTCTAGAATATGGGATAACTTTGGGAGAGGAATCTAGGAGTTCTTTGGACTGTCTGGCAAATTTAATGTAAATTTTAAACTATTTCAAAACATAAAGAAGCAAATTAAAAATAATACATGAAAATAATGAAAAATTCAGCCATATGTTTTGTCCTGTGAGACTTAGAATTACACCATTATTGATCAGGATATTTGGCAATAGGATAATGTCTTTGAATTTTGTTTCATTTTCTTATTTTCCCCACACAGATGAATTTTTGCTATATATGTAATACTCTTCAAAATTTGGCTCCAGAACACAGTGATTAGTTGGAAGACCCTCTGGAACTTAAGGAAGAGTCAGGTCAACTCTCTCCCAAGATGGAACTCAGTAGAATGAGGCTGACTGAAGCTAGTAGCTGAGTTCATTTGTTTATCAAACATTGGCTGACTGATGCCTGACCTCTTGAAACTAGCTGAGTCTCCCTGGCTGACTGGTTGGCTGAACTCCTGGTCCTTCTTCCCTCAACCCTCCCCACCAACTCCTGTTTCTGTCTTTGCTCTTTTCGCTGGTTGGCTGCCCTCCCTGAGCCTACCAAGATGTTGCCAAAAGATTGAGAGTACTGGTAATGATAATAAAATTGACTCAATACAGGCAGAGGCCTCAGATAAAAACAAGAAAAACTCAGAGTGAAAAAGCATTACTACACACAAATGTGTAGCAGTAAATCTTTTTGATTATTTGAACTAGTTGAACATGTTCCACTTACTATGAAGTAGGAGAGCAGTGGCATAATTTCATTATAAATCTTTTTGGCCAGTGGCATTATTACTGTCAACCTAGTAGTAAATTAACAAAATGTAGTAAGAGTAAAATAGAGAGGTAAGAAAAGATTTAAATGTAATAAGTAGTTTCTAGGTCAAGGCACTATGCTAGGCTTTTGAAATATTCTTAGTCTTAAATCTCCTTTATATAGTGAGAGAACTAAGGGCTATAGGAGAAGAGCCCAAATTGCACCTGGGGTGTGTCAGACTAAAAGGCCTGCATCTAGCTACACAATTAACTCTCTTGAAAGAATCAACTTATGAAACATTTCATATTGGACAAAAATGTTGCTACCCACCAGTGAATCCTAGGCACCTTTACCTTCCAAGCTGAACAATTAATTAGTTATACTTCTTACTTCATTCATGAGATTATCTATCTATCTAGATAGATGATAGATAGGTAGATAGAT